GCTGGGCTGGGGCTGGGCTGGGGTTGGGTGAAGATGGGCTGGGGTCGGGGTGAGGGTGCGGCTGGAGGTCGGGGGTCTGGATGCAGGTGGCCTGAGAGGAAGTGGTTGAGGAAAGTGTTGGAAGTACCAAGGAGGGTTAGCAGAAGGGACTTGAGTGGGGTTTGTGGCAGTACTGGGAGGGGCAGGGGTGCCCTGCTGAGCCGGCTGAGCCATCTGCAAGGCCTGGATACCGATCTTGGAAGCAATCCAGGTCAGATAGGGCCAGGTGGACGTGTAGATTCCGGGGCGCTTGGCTCGGGCACAGCCTACCCCCCAGCTCGTGATTCCCACGACCACATAGGCGTCCTCCGGGCCTCTGCACATGAGCGGCCCACCACTGTCCCCCTGCCAGAAGGACACGGGAGTCACTCTCCGCTGAGCCAAGAGCCACTTCTCCCTGTCGCCCAGGAGGGCCACAGGCTCTGGGCAGACAACTTCTGCAGCCACACAGTTTTCCGCTCCCGGAAACGCAACTGGCTGTGGGGGAGGGTCCGTTGGGATGTGACGGGTGTGGCCACCGAGGGTTTCCTCCCAGGGAGGAGGAGATGAGGAACTCCCGTGTCCGTGCAGGCACACGTGAGCGAGTGTGTGTGATTGGAAGGGTTTGTATTCTGGGGAAGGACATACACGTTCTCTCTGGAGCCGTGTTTGGGTGATGTGATCGTTGTGTGAGGGTGGGAGAAGGTGCTAAAGGTGGGGGTTGGTTCTCTGTAGGGGCAGCTGGTGTTGTCACCGCCCATGTTCATTGTGACCGTAGACATGCGGCCAGGAAAAGGGTCACTAGATCAGGTCCCCTGAGTGCATGGAGCTGAGGGATCCAAAAAGGAGGTGGCCATACGGGCCTGGGCACCCCCAGGACAGTTACCTGGCAGGTGTCGATGTTGCCTTCAGGGTAGCCTGCGCACACGTTGGTGGAGCGAATGCGCCCTCTGTACCACCGGGTCGAGTTGCACAGGTTGAGGTCGAGGATGTCCACTCGCGCCTCCTGCAGCACAGGTGACATCTTGCGGTCTACAACCAGGGACTCGGTGGTCAGTGATCTCGGAGACACGCTGGGGAAAGCCCTGCCACCTCCCTGCACAGAGCCCTCCTCATCCTGAAATGCTCGATTTAAACCCAAGACCCACCCTCCCCTTCACACAGCAGACCAGCGAGGGGTGGGGCGGTGTCCCAGGGCGTATGCCTAGAGGGGGACAGAGGAAGAGTCTGGACAATGGACAGAGGGGTGTGGGGTGGGCGGTGTCGCTGAGAGATGTATGTTCGTGGTAGCTGATGGACCGTGGAGGGCAGTTGGCACCAGGCGGTGCTGAGCACTGTGGGGCCCACGGGTGTCGTGTCACGTAGTCCCCGCAGCAACCTCATGGCTTCTGCTCGTCAGCTCCCTGCGCGGTCAGGAGCCTGGAGCACCACCTGCCTGCGTGGCAGCAGGGATGTGCTGTGGCCTGGATTCAGAGCCTGGTTTTCCTCCCCAGAACCAAGTCCAGTTCTGGCTGTAAGTCGCCCTCCCTGTGGTCCCCGTCAGGACTCCTCCACCCTCTTGGACAGGACCCCCAGGTGGGCTGGCGAGCCCCTCCCCATGAGCAGGCCCCTCTCTGTTCCCAGGAAGTCATGAAAGAGAAGAAAGGGGCACCCCTGTCAAGACCAAGTCAGACCTTCCTGTGCAGACGCTCTGTTGGGGCCCTGGGTTGGGAAGGGCCAGCCTGTCTGCACGGGAGCAGAGTCGGCCACACAGAGCCTGAGCGCCACCAGCTGCCCCCTCTTTGTCAGGGGGTCCCATAGACAGAGGTCCTGATGGCAGCCGCTGCTCTGGCCCCACAGCCCAGAGGGTGGGTTTGAACACCCACCATCTGCAGTGCAGATGGGGGCATAGACAGGTAAGGCCTGGCGGAGGGGCGGGTGTGGAACATGCTACGTGGGCCAGAAGGGAAGACAGGACCCCACGGAGCACGTGGGTGGGGGCGAGGCACACAGCCGATGGCTCTGATGTTTCCAATCCCTTCAGCCCCCACCTTCCCTGACCCCCAAGCGGCAGGCCCAGTCTGCGCATGCTCCGCCCTGGGGTAGGGGTGACACCGAGATAGCGACCACAGAGGCTCCTTAGCCAACGAGCTGCCCGTTCTGTCTATGGCAGAGCCCGAGCCCAGAGAGCCAGAGATTCGTTGTGAAGAGCCTGGTGTCCTCAAGCAGAGAAGGGTTTTCTGGATCCCCAGGCCCTGTTTCACAGGACGCATGCTGACAGCCCGCCCTCCTCAATGGGAAAGGAGAGGGCTGCAGTGTGTTCCACGGACAGGTGGAAAGGAAGGTGTGGAGGAAGGAGGGCACAGGAGTTGGAGCCTGAGATTTCTTTAAGACCCAGCCTTAGGGGAGGGGGACTGAGGGGGAATGTGTGTGCCAAAAAAACGATAGAAATCCCATTAGGTTTAGAGGGATTCTAGGACGAAGGAGGCCTTGCAAGACATCCAGGCTGCAGCTGGAGCCTGCACTCCCCAGCAACATGATAGCACGAACCCTGACATCAGCCTCTGGGACTGCATGCACCCCGGAGGCTGGTGGTTGGGCGGGTGGGCAGGGCGGGTCCAGGGAGGGAAGGTCAGACAGAGGTCAGCAGAAGCCAGTGGTAGCCAGGGCACCTGCAGGAGACACTTTTCCTGGGGAGACAGGTGGCAACCCTATCAGAAACTGAGCAAGCCTCAGAGAGGGGACGAAGAGTTAGGGAAGAATCCCGAAATTACTGATTTTGGGGTTAGCAACAAAAGCTGAGTTTTAAACTCCACAAGATGAACAGCCTGGAATTAGAAAGCCTAAAGGGTCTGTTATCAGGTAACAGAAGAGCATGAGAGGTAAGTTAGCGTCAATCATATCTTCACATCCCTGGTGTGACTGGGTAACAGTCAGGCGGCCCCCTGTGCAAAGCCCTGTCCTGCCGGCTCAACCTTCCGGCCACGGAGACAGAGACAGCAGACACCCCCCACCCCCCCGCCCTCTGCCCTCTCCCTTCTGCAGGGAAACCCTGCAGCAGCTGCGATGGGTGGGGAGGATTTGGGAGCTATGGCTCCCAAGGGTGGGGGTAGACGGCCTGGGCTACGGCCTTTAACACTCACAGGTGGGGAAACTGAGGCCAGAGAGAGAAAGGACCGGCCTGCGGCCACAAAACCCCACCTAGAGCTTCTCTCCCCGTTTCAAAAATGCAGCACCCGTGGCCCTGGGCAGGCACTCGGCTCTCGCCCTCAGTTTCTCCGGCTGGAAAGGGGCAGAGGTTGCACCCACCCAAGGCCCCCCACATACCCTTTCACCTCAAAGTGCACTGAGGGAACGCTGCGCACTGCCCCCCGGAAGCCTCTCCCGGACTCACCGTTCTCCCTTAAGAACCCCCAGCCAGTCACCCAGCAGGACTGGGACGCTCTGGGAAGGCCGGCCTTAAACGGAGGCAGGCAGCCCGGTCCAACGAGGCTCCCACAGACCACGGGAGGGGTGACCTTCATGAGAGCAATGTCGTTGGCCTCTGAGATGGAGGAATATCTCTCGTGAAGGATGATTTTCTCCACAAATCTCTCCTGGAGGGGTGCTTTCACGGGCCCGGTGCTGCCATACTCGAGTTCCCTTGCTCCGAAAATCAGTCTCCAGTCGTATGGTTTTCTGTGCGCACAGAGGGACCAGGTCATTCCCGCCCGGCACCTGGCACCGGCTGCGACCGAGAACCTCAGCCCTCTCCTCACAGGGGTCCCTCAACATGCTCAGCCGTGTGGCCGCTGGGCCCCGAGCCCCAGGACACTCTACATGGAGACACGCCCCCGCAAGAAGGTCCCTGACAAGAGCCCTTGGGAAGACCCCCTGCCCGCGCCCACACCTACTTATTGAGCCTGAAGCAGTGAGCAGCGGTGAGTACCCACTGGGCATTCAGCAAGGTGCCTCCACAGGCATGGTACCTCCGGCTGTTGTGGTAGGTGAAGACCTGCAGGCTGACCATCCAGGGCCACGCCCCGTGAGCGGCAGCCTGGCCTCCGACCACACGTGTGGTCGCTTGTAGGGTCTGCCTGAACGGTAGCCCACAGGAGCCACTGAGGAGAGACCACGGGCATAGATGAGGTCGAGAGCAGACACAGCCTGTCCTTGTGCCTCAACTGAGGGCAGGGATATGGGGTTTAAGAGTGGGAAAGATCACCCAGCCAGCGTGGCTCTGTGGTTGAGCATCGACCTGTGAACCAGGAGGTCACAGTTCGATTCCCGGTCAGGGCACATGCCCAGGTTGCGGGCTCGATCCCCAGTAGGGGACATGCAGGAGGCAGCCAATCAATGATTCTCTCTCATCATTGGTGTTCCCATCTCTTTCTCCCTCTCCCTCCCTCTTGAAATCAATAAAAATATTTTTTTTGGAAAAAAAAATCTTAAAAAAAGTGGGGAAGATCTGGGAACACGAAGGCAACTTTTGGTGTAGGGTCAAAGGGGGTGTCATGAGGGCCATGTTGTGGGGCTGTGACGAGGCAGGAGCCACAGGCTCCAGGAAATGTAGTGAGGGCTGTGATTTCTTGGGTCTTGTGGGTGTAGCCACAGGTGGGGGGAGAGGGTGCCACAGGCAGCTGGGAAGATGGACAGTGAGGGCCATAGAAGTTGGGGGCCAGGGGCTCGGGGAGGCTGACATGGGAGTGCAGTGTGCCATGGCCTGGGGTCTTCAAAACCAGACTTTGGGGTTCAGGATTAGCTTAGGCAGTGACAGGAGAGGTGAGGACCTTGTCTTGTCAGATGGAGGGACCCCTAGTGTAGGGAGGCTGTGGGGGTCAAGAGGTGGGATCGGTGTCACAGGTGAGAGGCCATACTAGTTTGGGACTTATTGGCATGTGGGGTATCCTGGAGGCTGTGGGGTCTCAGGGGTGTGAAGGCCCTAGAGCTACAGCAGATTGATGCTTTGGGACTCATCCACAGGCTGGGGCATCTCATGTCTGCGAGACTGGTGCGCATCAGGATGTAGGTGTGCGGGTAGATCCCCGTGCTGTGCATGCCCTCAGAGCTGGGGGTCTGTCTCAGGACCCAGGGCAGCTGGGCCCAGGACTCTGGGCTGAGGATGCTGGGAGCAGGGAGTCTGAGTGGAGCTGTGGGTCTCCAGGGGACTGCGAAGGCCCCAGCATGGCCTCCTCTCTGGACAGAGGCCTTCTGCGTCTGCTCTTCAGAAGGCACCCCACCCCCCGCCAAGGTCCCGGACACTTACTCACACGTGTTGTTAACTTTGGCGACTACAGACGCTGCCAAGACCAGCAGAACGGCAGTTGGCAGCATCTCCACCATCATCCTGCCCAGCCGCCGGGAGGCCCGCTGACCTCACAAAGCTCTGAGCATCCTGACCAATCAGCAGGGCCAGCTCCCCCACCCCACCCCCAGCAGGCAGGCCTGCAGGAACCCCTTAGCCCAACCAGTTCTCGCTGAAATGACTTCCCCACTCCCGCACAGGTTCTCCTGGGTGAGGGCGACTCAAGTGCAGCCCCTCCCTTGTCCCCAAATCTGGCCAGGATCTTCAAGGTCCCACTTCATCTGAGATGACAGAGCCCGCCTTCCTTAAGCCGCTGCGGAGTCCACAGGTCTCATATTCTCTGAGTGTATTCTGATCTCCTTTCTGAGACCTGCATGCAGCAAGGTGGTGTCCCCTATAATTGTCAGGAATTCTCATCATGGTTACCTGAATATCACGCAGTACCCTTTCTTTTTTTTAAATATGTTTTTATTGATTTTAGAGAGAGGAAGGGAGAGGGAGAAAGAGATAGAAACATCAATGATGAGAGAGAATCATCAATTGGCTGCCTCCTGCATGCCCCCCACTGGGGATTGAGCCCGAACCTGGGCATGTGCCCTGACCAGCAAACAACCTGGTTCATAGGTCGACCCTCAACCATGGAGCTAGGCCGGTCCTGGAAGTATCCTTTCTTCTGATTGTCAGGAGACAGCATCTCAGCCACCAGGGACACCAATGCTCACCTCACCTCACACACCTGAGTGTTAAAGTGTCACCTGGCCCAGCTGGGAGTTATACCAGGGAGTTATTATCTCTCCTCCCTGAATATGAGGTGTCTATTTCCTTCCATCTCAAGGCCAAAGGCCTTCTCTCCACCACCCAGTGTCACTTCGTCACATCTCTCCCTGAGAACCAAGTCTCACATACTTGACCTGAATGGCAGAGGTGACCTCTCACCGAGATGAGCGTTCTGAGGTTTCAACCGCCGCGTGCAGTGTCGGGATCCTCACCCCCACCTGGCTGCCAGGCGGTCTCCCCTACCCCCCCTGAGCACAGTCTCCTCTTCCTGCCAGCAGGTCGTGAGCATTTATCTCCTCTTCCTGAGCATCTTGAGGTCTTGTCTGCCCTGCCTGAGGGTCGTGGGCAAGGGGTCTTCTATGCCACACCTGAGTGTCCTAACGCTGCCTCTCCTCTACCTGGTGTGTGGGGATCCCATCTCTTCTGTCTGTATCTGCAGGTTTCACCTCCTCCCTCTAAGTGACTAGGGGTCTCACCTGCCCCACTTTATATAAAGATGTCTTGCCTCCCCTATCTGAGCATCCTAAGGCCTCACCTCCCCTGAGTGTTGGGTATGTCCACTCTTCTATTTGTCAGGACATCTCATTTTCTCTAGATGAGCATCCCCAATCCTCTCTCCCGAGGGTCAGAAGGTCTCCTCTCTCCCATTACTGGGCTGGAACATCTCATCTCTGTTTCCCAGAAAGTGATGAGGCTTTGTCCACCACCCTCCCCCCACCCCCACCCTCCACCCCCCCCCCAAAGGTGTGGCAGGATGCGTCACCCAAGTCACTTGAGTTTGGACCTGCATTGTTTCCCTTTCTTTCCAGCAAAAGTCTTGTTTCCCGGGATGACAGGTCTCAATAATCATAATCAACTCTTTGTGTCACGACATTTTTGTCTCTGCTGCCTGCATGTCAGGCCGTCTCCCTCTCTTCTGCTTGAGTGTGCGGAGGGCCCGTCACCCTTATGTCAGCTTCAGGGCTCTCAGGCATCTCTCTAAGACAGTGATGGCGAACCTTTTGAGCTTGACGTATCAGCATTTTGAAAAACCCTAACTTAACTCTGGTGCCGTGTCACATATAGATATTTTTTGATCTTTGCAACCATAGTAAAACAAAGACTTATATTTTTGATATTTATTTTATATATTTAAATGCCATTTAACAAAGAAAAATCAACCAAAAAAGTGAGTTCGCATGTCACCTCTGACACGCGTGTCATGGGTTCGCCATCACTGATCTAAGAGGATCTCTTACTTCCCAGACCCAAGTGTCACAGGATGTGGGTCTTCCACTGGAGTCTCAGGAGGCCACACCTCCACTCTGCAAGAATCCATGGTCTTTTTTCTGCTTGCTTTCTTTCTCTTTCTTTCTTTCTTTCTTTCTTTCTTTCTTCTTTCTTTCTTTCTTTCTTTCTCTCTTCTTTCTTTCTTTTCCTTTCTTTCTTTCTTTCTTTCTTTCTTTTCTTCTTTCTTTCTTTCTTTCTTTCTTTCTTTCTTTCTTTCTTTCTTTCTCTTTCTTTCTTTCTTTCTTTCTTTCTTTCTCTCTTCTTTCTTTCTTTTCCTTTCTTTCTTTCTTTCTCCTTTCTTTCTTTCTTTCTTTCTTTCTTTTCTTCTTTCTTTCTTTCTTTCTTTCTTTCTTTCTTTCTTTCTCTCTTCTTTCTTTCTTTTCCTTTCTTTCTTTCTTTCTCCTTTCTTTCTTTCTTTCTTTCTTTCTTCTTTCTTTCTTTCTTTCTTTCTTTCTTTCTTTCTTCTTTCTTTCTTTCTCTCTTTTTCTTCTTCTTTCCCTTTACATCAGGCAGTCTCACCTCCTCTATCTGAAGGTCAGGAGGTCAGGAGGTTTCACCAACCTGAGTGTTAACAGGTTGCAGTTCACTGAGTGTTAGGAGGCCTCACTTGTTTTAAATCAGTGTCAAGATTGTGCTTGATCAAGTAACCAAAAAAAAGGTCTTTGGAAATATAGTTATGGAAATGGCAATAAGAATTCACGGAGTGATATTAAAGTTTTGACTGTTAAAGAAAAGCCAATTCAGGTGTTTTTACAGGATTTTGATGGGCATAAAATTGATATGGTATTTAGATCCATGAGAATAATTTACCAGAATGATGTACCATTTATTTTAAATGTTGAAATTTACCCTTTTCTGCAAATCACAACTTTACAAGTATTTAAATATATGATCAAAACGTTGGATATAAACTTTGAAATGAAGAGCAGGACCTAATTTTTCAAAACATTGAGGGTTATGCACTAACAGGGTTAGAGGACCCAACGTCTGGATTCCACAGAATAATTGTTTGACTGCAGAGCGACGCCCACTCCTGGTTCTGGAAGGGGCTGCCAGGCATCCTACCTCCTGAAAGTCCCCTGGTGCAAACCTTGAGGTTCTGACTCTCTCTGAGGCCTCGGGTGGCTTCTGACCTGCAGGGACGTGTGTCCTCTCCCTCAGACACTTGCGGAGCCAAGGCCATGCCATCTCCGTGGGAGCTGGCTCCACCGCTCCTGCTCTTCCCTCTGCTGCTGTCCCATCCCAGAGAGACCAGCTCCAGGTGCAGCTCAGAGACCTGTCTCCTGGTGCCCAGCACTCGGCCCCAGCAGGGGGCAGGGTCTCCCCTCCACCCCACACTCAGACTTCCTTCATGGCCCCTTCTGTATGATGAGCAGTTTCTAACTTGAAACAAAAAACTTGAAATTGTGGGGCTTTCTAGACAGATGGCGAGCCTCTCGAGGTCAAAACGCCCAGCAGTCACGGTCTCTGCCTCACCAGGGCCTTCTTCACCTTCCCCACGAGGCCTTTGCTGGCTCCCAAAGCACCTGAGCCCCTGCACTGCCTCCGGGTGGAAACACGGAATCCACCCCTCATGTCTCTGCTGGCTTCTCTCCACCTCGCACTCTTACTCCCTCTGGGACCAGCACACGACCCTGGAGGCATCTCCCACTGGTCTCACCTGGCTCAGTGAGAACCTGAGTCAAGGCCAATGTTTCTCATTGTCACGTTCACGCTGCACCTTCACGCAGTGTGGCCAGGCTCTGCAGCCACCACCCCTCCTGCAACCCTCTGGTGCCCAACTTCTCTGGCACATCAGCTCTGCAGGCCTGGCCCTCTCAGCCCTGGACCCTGCAGTCTCCACCTCTCACTTCCTGGGAAGTGTCCACCCACTCACCTCTGTTCATTCTCCTTCCACCCATCAGGCTGGCCACCCCCACCAGGTGCCACACCGGACCTGCCACATCATGGGCCGTGGCAGCTGGCTGCTTACCTGTCAGCTCAGGGAGAAGTGAGACCTGGGCATGGGCAGCAGCTGTGGGGGCAGGACGACAGGGACAGACATGGGAGGGCTCACAGGCAGGAGCAGCAGAATGAGAAACTGGGCTCTGGGAGGAAAAGAGGACAGATAGGGCCCCAAAGGACAACCAGACTTCCAGCTGGGGACTGGCCAGTGAGCAGAAAGGAAAGCTTCCAGGAGCACAGGCTGAGGTCCAGTGGGACTCAGAGAGGCAAGGAGCCGGTGGCATGGAGGTCAGTATAGAGTCAGGATCAAAGAGGGGGCCTGAGTCATCAGTGCCTGTGGCTAAACGCTCATGCCTAGGCTGGGTGGGGGGGAGGGGACAGCTCTGTGACCTAAGGGACAGCAGGGTCTGTGCTCCCAGTATCTCCTCATGCAGGCAACTGAGAAACAGTTTCATTTCTTATAAATTTATTACATAATATTATAATAATTATTATCAATAATAATAATAATATAAGAAACATAGATCTCTGTGGGGTGTATCACAACATCAGGGTCAGGAGGCCTCAGGACTGGAGCAGGGGGAAAGCCCCTGGATGGAACTCCATACAAAAGGAGGGTGAAGCGGTACTGACCCTGTAAAGTTAAAAACCCAAATTGAACGGAACCAAAAACCCACAGGTGAGTGTGAGACCGAGTGTGTATGTGGCAGCCTGTTACAGTCACGGCTGCTGTGTGATCTGGTCTGTTAGTGAAGGGTGGCTGGGTGTGACTCTGCCCAGGGAATGAGGCCGCTGGGCTGGGATGGGGTGGGCGGGCACAGACCGGCGTGCCAGGCCCCTGGGCTGTGAAAACGTCTGTTTTCTGGGTTTTTTATTTTTATTAAAAAAAGCTAGAAATATAAACAGAAACTTGTGAGTGACGTGGATGGAGCTTAGTCCAGACGCCAAACCCTAGGTTTAAAAACGTCCCAGGGCCCCCCCACCCCACAGGTCATTGCTGAGTGTGGGGAGTCACAGTAAGGGGGGCTGGGATGCCCTCGGGGGTCTCTGCTTCTCCCCAGGGTTTAGGATGGCCTGACTCTAGGGTTCTCCCTAGGATCCCCCAGAAGCCTGGTGGGGGGGGGGGCAGGCACTGCCTCCAAGGGCCCTGGGGGGACACCCCCAGCAGCAGAGCTGGCCGGTAGCCTGCTCGGGCCAGGCAGGACTCTGGAGGGGCAGGCGGGACAAACGCAAGTCCCAGGGGACAGAGGGGCCTCTTTCTTTGGAAGCGGATGGGGTGCTTTCAGGCATGCACCCTGCACATGCTCCCGAAACCCTTGCGCTGGTTCAGGGCCCCCTGCGGCCCGCTCCCTCCTCAGGCACACACGGGGCTCCGAGCACTCAGTCGCACCCAGAGTTTCACACAGTCACACGCTTGCACACACACAGGCGGGACAGGAGACTTTGGGGTCTGAGGCAGAGGCTTCTTTGCTGTAGTTGCCCAACAATGTGGGGAGGAGGCTAGACCCCTCCTGGGGAGGAACCTCGTGAGGGGAATGGCTGGGAGCAGGTGCCAGGGCCCGTCCCCACCCCTGGCGAGGGTCTCCCAGGCCCTCAGGCCCTGCTAGTCCCTGCAGGCCTGGCTGCCCGCTGCCCCTCCTCCACGCAGCACCGGAAGGGGCGTGGGGCACACTAGAGCTCAGCGAGGGGAGAAAGCTGAGGCAGGGCCCCAGGGCGGCTACTAGGACCCTGGCCAACCCCAGACCAGCTGGAGCATCCTCCGCCCACGTGGGGTGGCAGTGGCAGTGAGGGGCCAGAGATGGAAGACTGGGCAGCCACAGCGGAACCAGTAGGAGGCTGGGGGGCGGGAAGGGAAGCTATTAAGGACAGAGATATTTGTTCCTTTTCTCGTTCCAAATATAGAGTGGATTAAAATATGCAAAACAGGGGGGCTCCTAGGCCCCCAACCGAGAACCCCAATGTCTCCCCCCTCCCCCCCGAGTCACCAAGGTGTGTCCTGACCCCTCGCATGCTGGACTAGGTCCCCCCTCTGGGAGCAGCCTCCGGAAGCTGTGTGGGAGCCGGTCAGGCTGGAGACTCCTCCCCAACCCCTCCGGCTCCACCCTTTCATCCGCACTTCCTGACCGTGTGCTGGGGTGGGGCTCACCGGCCGTGGGAGGGCGCTAAGCAATGTACAGGGCAAGTCTCCGAGCCACGGCAAACAGGACGATTCATGCAACATTCCTGGCCCGGGCGCCTTAGTTGGGGGCAGGGGCCGAGCCCGCGGCCCGGGGGTGGGGGTGGGGGGTGGGGCCCTGCCCGCAGACAGCGGCCCGACGCTTGAAGGGGGGGGGGGCGCCATTGCACTCCAGCTGCCTGAGCGCGCGC